CTTTCCTCAATCCTAATCCAGAACTAAAGATGGACAAGGAGCTGCAGCTGTTAATGAGTCAAACGATAAGGCCAGGAATTTGCACCGGTATTAGAACAACACAAAGGCCCGTACCATCAGATAAATAAGTCAATGGAGAGTCGATAGTGATCGAGGTCAGTGAATATTATCACTAACAACGACTCGCCTTGCAATGCGAGCCGAGATACCCAAACGAAAGTGAAAGGCTCTTATGCCACCATGAAGACGGTTTAGTTCAGGCAAATGTGGAAAAATAGCTTCGTCGATGACCTAATATGATGACGACATTTTGCAACGTTACAAAGTAACGGCTTACTCGATTCCTCTGGTTGATGGTTCACGAGCAATATGCATGTTTTCATACATAATAATACATTCACAAATCTTTTAAACGGATGTGTCATTATTCATACACGAGTTGAAACGCGTATCGGTTGCAACATTTCAATAAATCATGAAAAGAGTAGGAGGCTTCTAATAATTAAGAACGCGTGATACAAAGATTTCAATAAAACATCACTAGCAAGTGTGAGGGACTTGACCACATTTTGACACAGTATTGTGTTACGCGAGACCGTGAGTCTTGTGCTACGCGAGACCGTGGGTCTTGTGTTACGCGAGACCGTGGGTTTGGTGTTACGCGAAACCGTGGGTCTTGTGTGACGCGAGACCGTGGGTTTGGTGTTACGCGAGACTGAGGGTTTGGCGTTACGCGAGACCGTGGGTCTTGTGTTACGCGAGACCGTGGGTCTTGTGTTACGCGAGACCGTGGGTCTTGTGTTACGCGAAACCGTGGGTCTTGTGTTACGCGAGACCGTGGGTTTGGTGTGTTACGCGAGACCGTGGGTCTTGTGTTACGCGAGACCGTGGGTCTTGTGTTATGCGAGACCGTAGGTCTTGTGTTACGCGAGACCGTGGGGGAAAAGATTGCTGATGCGAGGTCTAGGTAGCAATCAGTGAAACAAGCCGCATACGCAGCAGACACGCTCAAAAATACGAAATGAGTGGCGTGAAAAAATAGACATAAATTATAACGAATTTCATGCACTACATGGACCTGCCGCTGCACAGGCTAACCAAAAAACTATCGTTATGGAATTACAGTCGGAGACTGGAGGAGATTTCAATTTCACATTTCTGGAAAAAAAATGCACTCAGTAGGATGAAGTTGATTGTTATTAATTGCAGTAAGGAGCTGGCTATTATTCTTCAAATGGTTCAGCAAGAAAATTAAAAGATACAAAATAAATTGTAGAATTGATGTTATGACTGAGCTACTAACTTGCTTATATAGATTAAGATACGTTCACAGTCATAAGATTGAAGAAAATAAACAAACCAAAATTAACTCAATAATTGTAAGTAAAACGACTTAATTGTCCAATTAAAACCGTAAAAGTTAATGCATAGTGGCCATTTAAAAAAATTGTTTACTTCCCATGATCTTTCGTTGAATAAATGATGAATCACTTGCCATAATACTTCGACTGAACAGCGTGTAAATACACCAAAGAAATAGTAAATTGGGTGCAATACTAACAGCTAAAAGCTTTGAACTATTCAGTGAGAGGCAGGCAGTGCAGCGATGGAACATATGCAAGTAGGGCAGGCACTCCTTGATTCCTGACAAGCAGAGGGCCAACTCAGAATAGTTGTATACATGAACTCGCTGTAATATCATTCACCTTCATGGACAAAGGCCCTCGCAAGCAAGTATATAAGCAAGCATGCCGCTGCTGCTAAGGTGAGCAGCGTAACCGTCACACCTGCACCTCGACTATCATAAATACTGCACAAGAATGGGTTTGAATTATGCTACCTCTGGTATGTGAACTTACGACATACCCCAACAATATTTGAGAAATGAAAAACATTCTACAAATTTTTATGACGAATATAAATGTCAACAATTATGAGCCAATTCATAATTTCCATTTCTTATTTCTTCTTCCCATAAACACTGGAATTGAATTAGTCTCGATTGTCTTTCGGTTTCCAAAGAATATATTCAGAAATTTATGAATCCAGTGATGAAATGATTCGCAAAATGATGGGCTAGTCTTAAGCAATTTTAAACGTTTTCATGACACTTTCCTCACCTCACTCATACTGATGTTTAGACGAGTCGCATTTAAAAGAGGATACGCTTTCACGTAACTGAACCTATTGTACGGTATCCGTTGTCCAGTAAATTCTAACATATCTGAGCATTGCGATTGTTGAAGAACTGGCTAAATTGGATGAATAGGCAGGCAGAATTATAAGCTGATACATCAATATTTGGCGCCTTTACCTAGATGATCGGCACAGGCAAACCATTCAAATCTCAAACTACAAATCGCAATGCAAGTAGATAGTGAAAGTATATGATGGTTCACTCAGTTACTTTGTCTGGACGTTACGACATCCACTTCATCAAGTCGACTACATGATCGGTCAGCATACCGGAACTCTTTCAAGCATGGAAGCATTTCAATCAATAATGGACTCGGGTTCTTGCAAGATCATCGGAACGCTGAGCAGCTCTTGAATATCGATTGGTTGTGGGTTTGGCATGTTTGAGAGACATCACATGAGCACGACACGCAAATGAGTCCCCCCGACTGTGGCTGCTATCAAAGACCTACGCGTGATGGCTGAGCAGGGATCATCAGAGCACTTGCTAGACGAGTCTTGCTTGCGAGGAGGCATAATTTGAATGTGAAGTTCATTAATTAAAGGAAAATATTAAATAAATATCAGTCTAACAGGGTCAAAATTACACATTCATGATGAACGTAAACGCAGAACAGTAAAAAATGCATTAATTGTTGCAGTCCGAGGCATTTCTTCAGACATTTTCAAATGTTGTTTGCCATTAGAATGATTCGAATTCAGCGATCGTGATGCCTTCACAGAGCCAGAGATGTTTGGCTGCAGCGCTGCATGACTCGTGGAGGAGATTCCGAGAAGCGCAAGCAGGAGCTATAGAAGCTCGTTATAAAGACTCCATCGTCTAGTGTAGAGAAATATCGGAACCGTCTTCCATCATCATCTGGTGCAGGAGTGGCTCGTTAAACAACACAATAGAGATTGTTATCCACTAAAATACGCAGCCTTGCTTCAGTTTGAGATGCCGGCACCACATTATGAGCTCGCAGCCAATATGTGTTCAAAAGTAATACAAATAGACGAGGCGCTGGACTAGGAGGCGGAGATCTTCGTTGCAAAGGTGTGGAGTATGAAAACTTAAGTGCCTTAAATTGCTATAATATTAAACGCAAAAAATTATTTAAAATGTATTAATAATATTCGCGAACATGCATCGATCAAATTTCTCAATAGAGAATATTTAAATATAGCCAAACGACAAATAAATGAAAATGCGTTTTATTAATGCTGAAATATCCAAGCATGACGAACAGGATAATATGGAATGTTGAAGGTAGTTCACATCTTGCATTAATCGATAAATTTATCAACAAAAAAATTTAGATTACATGCATTATTTGTCATATCCGCCAGTACACGTTAGCAAATTAACAAGTTTGACATTTCGGCACATTTTTCAAAAATCTTTAGAGAAATTTTTCAAAGAAGATCACGTCTCGAAATGAAGGAACTTGCGAATAAAGGACAAAAGGAGAGCCTCAATAACCAGCCAGGCATGGATCACATCAAGGCTTGCTACTCTCAATGCCATTAACAAGTTTACGTTCCTTGGTCAGGTTCAGTCAATTTCCATCATCTCCAGCAGATCTAGCATTGTGAATATCTCACAAACGTCCTCGCCGCAACTCCTCTCGTTCCAAGAAGTACTGGTCACAAAAAGAGCTGATGAGCAGCGATTGAACGATTAGAATTGCGTTATTCATCTCAAAATAATAAACGCTCGGAAATACGGAGTGCCGCACATGTGACATGAATATGATTAAGGAGTTAAATTTTCGGAGCTTCGAACTATGTTTTGAATAAAATTGAATTTAACAAGTGGCAGTAGCAATTGCAGGGCAGTAATTACTAGCAATAATTTGACAATAATATCGCCTGTACGACAGCAATGGCGACAAAACTACAGCAATCCATGGCGATCTTTCCTGCTCCATGACGCGATCTCACGATCCGTACTTTTGTCCTATATCGTGATTTCTCGATATGGATCAACGGCAATAAAAAAATAGCATGGAAGCAAAATCAATAACGTACGTAATAGAATGACAGCAGAGGCAATAACGTAATAGCATGACAGCAAAGGCAATAACGTAATAGCATGACAGCAAAGGCAATAACGTAATAGCAACAGCAGAGGCAATAACGCAATAGCATAACAGCAAAGGCAATAACGTAATAGCATAACAGCAAATGCAATAACGTAATAGCATAACAGCAGAGGCAATAACGTAATAGCATAACAGCAAAGGCAATAACATAATAGCATGAGAGCCGATACAAACGAAAATTTGTCTAGACAGATTGCAATTTCCCATGAAAATTTCACCGAAAATGTAATAAAAGAACGATCGTGAGATCAAGATATGAAACTTAGGACAAATCGTGAGATTGCGATATGGAAAAGGACAGATCGTGATATCACGATATGGAAAAGGACAGATCGTAAAATCAAGACGTGCAACATATGTATTGATCGTGAGATCGCGATATGGAACAAACGACTGATCACCAGATATAGTCATAGAAAAAAATATATTAAAATAATTCGCGACGGATATTCAATGCAAGGCATCGACTAAGGCGAGGTAAATAGAAAAAATTCCCCTGTTGGTATTCAGCTTTTAAAAGGCTATGAAATAAATTGAAATTGTCACGAACCTAAAACAAATATTTTGGTTAAATCGAACAAATTGATATTTCAAATCGAACATAAAAAATGTCAATAAAAACAGAACATTGAACGGCGATCAACGAAACAACATCTGCAAAAGACAGCATTCATGTACTCATATATTTGTTAACATTGAATACGCATCAGCTATACTTACAGGTCATCAAGGTGCACCCATCGGGCACTGTAAGTGCCGTTCGAGGGCGCCGCCGAGGTAGACGCATCCTGAGACTCTTGGCAAGAATCGTCCATGTCTGGAAGAGCTACCTTATCCACAGGGGTAGCAAAGCCCTTCACTAGTCGACGAACACTGACCACTTCTGCTCTGCTGGCAACCATGGGCTTCCCTTGAATAATTTCTGCGCAGACTGGAGTATCAACCGTCGAACGGGAACAGTTCCCATTATCGGAAAACTCAATACACTCGTACATCTCTCCGTTGTTGACGCTAAGAGTTCTCTTCAAGAGAAACCGACTAGTATCTGCCATATATTTTGTGATGCTGGCTCTCGACCTCGCCCCAGGTTTGATACGAGGAAGCGATCCGTACAGAGGATTGTCTTGATGATAGTTGTACAGAGAAGAAGATGTGGTAGGTAAGAGACGCAAACTAGTAGAAGATTCAAAAACTTCTGAGTGAACATCGCCAGTATTGACGAAATCTACCGAATTTTCGAAATCAACTGTGCTCAAATCTGAGCCGAAGCCGGTGTCGAACGAATTGCTTAGGCATGAGGATCTCATGGACGATGAACGAGATGGCGTGGCAGAAGGATTAAGCCTTGAGGCAAATGCCTTATTTCTAAAATCTGCAACATTCAGGCGATCACTTGAAAAAGGTTCGTTAATACTTGAACTAACTGTTTCAAAGTTCTTCACTAATTGCCGCACATTCATTCGACCTGAGAATCCATCAGTTGATGGCTTACCAATAGCTTCAGGACCAAGTTCTGGAGTGGACGAATAGAGCGAACTCTTCTTGGTTCTCAAGCTTTTGAGCATTTCTCGCTCGCACGGAGTTCGAAAACTGGGAGAACGGCGTTTCTGACTGTTCTTCCTGTACACAGATTGTGTTTTAGACTCACTTTTTCTCAGCTCCAATTTGTACGTTGTTTGCGGCACGGCCCTGAGGTCAGATATCCGATGCCCTGCAGACTCCTGTGATGGCACTGACATTTTCACAACTTTTGTGGGGGCTTCGGGCAAACACACTTATTTATGTAACCACGATCAGATGTAGAACAGCTAACTTAGCTCAAAAGCAAGATAATTTCTAAAGCGGATACATATACAATCTCTTATGCGATCTTTCATGCCGCTCGGCAGAATAACACAAAAAATCATAGCTAAAGAATTCAGATTGGGTTATTGCTCAGGAATCAATACTGCTAACTGATGCGTCTGAAAGAAACGGAGAGAAATACAAAGCCAATGATTCACGTGCAAACATGAAGCGGCATCAGCAATGTAGTCTAAACCAACCAAGAGGGCACTTGTGAGGCCGCAATGGAATTCAAAGCATCGCGCTGTCAACACGCGAAAGGTCAGCAGCCAGGAAAGGGCGACACCTACAGAGATTTTTGAGGGCGACAGCTGTGCTGAAAAACTCGCAAGAAGAAACACGCGAAGGGCGCTTTCGAATATCTCACTCCAACATAGATAACACTAGTAAAATAAAATCCTTGAAACAAGAAATTAGTGTTAGTAACTACTTGTACAGGTTTGCTTTCAAAAGATAGCTGTATAATTTGGTTCTATAATATTAATGATACTATACTTAAATTATAATTTTGGCTAGCAAAGATGTGTCAGTAAATACTTTGCTCAGGTTTGCTGGTGAAGAGATATCTACATGAATACACGACACATCGCTGCACCCTAATGATCATGATGATACACGTAAATGTTCAGGTTAGGGAACAAATGTTAAAAATTTACGTTTACACAAAAAAAATTACAGCATCGTCATTTTTAGTGTCTCTCGCAAATGCATAAAGATTTTTTGTGCAATAATTGCGTAGAAAATTATTTATATATTATAGATCGTTTGTGAGTTTGTATCCTCGCGTGTTGCAAATATATGTACCATAGTTATTCGAACACGTATCCACAATGCCTATCGTGACGTGATATGGCACTCATGTACCATAAATGTTATTTCCTATAATGGAGCCATGCGGGGTCGCGAAACGAGAGTTGGACGAATAATACTGATTAAATATTAATTCAAATTTAGTTCAAAGCCGTCACAAATTCAGCAACTTGTCTATATACTTATATTTTTTCAATTCTAGGCTTCACTTTGAAAATGAATATGATGGCAGAAGAGGCACGGAAATCAATCAATCAATAATGAAGCAAATCTATGGTATTATATTGGATGCCGAGCAACGGCAGGGGTTAACGCGTGAGTTCAACAATCAACATACGATTGATTTTACATCACTATTGCACGAGCTGGGGTGGAGTGTCAATAAATATATTAAATTTTATTTGTCTTTTCGTAGTTGGTGTATACAACATTAATTTTAAACATGGCAGAAAAACGATCGTCTATGAAGACGAAGTTGCTTCAATTTACACTTTAGAAGAACGAATTTTTGTGCAGGATAACAGGTCTTCACTTCATTAGTTCTCGGACGTCGTGCAGGTCCGCAAATGAGAGAGCGATTGAAGATATCGACGAGGCGTATCGCATGTACATCGGCTACTCGATCGAGCGCTGCAATGCCTTGCACGTCAACAACAGATAAGGGAATGATTGGACGCGCGCTAAAACGCAGTGAGTTAAGGCAATTTAAAGCACACACTCGACTAATAGGATTAAGAGGCACTCGCAGTTTGGAGCTCATAATGTATACGAGATCTCGCTGTTAAAACTGATAGAATAATATACGTTATCAAGAAGACCTAATTGACTGCGTCACTAATTGAAGATATCGCATCACATGATAGCTCTGCACTTGCCATGACGAGACGACGCTATTGTGAAAGTTACTTTAGAAAAGAGACTTAACTTTAGCCAAACTTGAACGAAAACTTTTTCAGAATTCCTCGACACATGTACTCATTAAATTAGTTCAATCGAAGGTACAAAAAGGAGCTGAAATTATTATGCATTTCCCATCGTCGAGTTACTTTGAAAAATTGATTCTAGTTTATTCTCAATTTCACAGCCTACCGATGATCCATCATATGTCTTGGTGAAAAAGCGACTGACAATTTAATTCTGTATCTCAAGTTATTTCGTATCAGAAGCCCATTACAGCCAAAATTCCGCTATTCTTGGTGATCATACACCGACAGAGGTATGTGGATTAGCGAGATATTTAGATTATTTTTTAAAAGGTTTGTTACATGGATGCACGGTCAAATGTCTGCGGGATTAGTTACGATGGCATTCAAGATTCGTAACTGTTTGATTAATGGTTCGTAACATGCTTTGCAGTACGCCAAAAGAACGTAAATCCTAAGCATTATCATGATAATTTAGTCAGAGAATGGTTGAAACATTAAGGGAACTGAAAGCAAAATCAGTTAAATTTGTCCTACGAGCTGGAAGTGTATTTACTCGGATGCTCGTTTCAAGAAAAATGCAAACCTCAAAAATGCTAGCATAAAATTATATCATGCCTCTTAGGCCCCAATAAAAATTATTGCGCATAACTCCGCGTAGTGAAGCCCACACGGCAGCATGCAATAAATGTAGCATAAGACCGTATAGTGGAGCCCACACGGCAGCATGCAATAAGTGTAGCATAAGACCATGTAGTGGAGGCCACAAGGCAGCATGCAATAAGTGTAGCATAAGACCGTATAGTACGTGGAGCCCACACGGCAGCATGCAATAAGTGTAGCATAAGACCGTATAGTGGAGCCCACACGGCAGCATGCAATAAGTGTAGCATAAGACCGTGTAGTGGAGCTCACAAAAGCATAAGACCGTGTAGTGGAGCCCACAAGGCAGCATGCAATAAGTGGAGCAGCAGACGTTACTCGGTGCCGTCGCGCGTACGTTTCCTGTTCACGACAGAGCCGTCATTGTTAAGAAAAGAGCGCCTGCACTGCGTCTGGCTTGCGCTCTAAAAATCACTACAAAAGAATTTACCTTTCTGCCTCCGCATTCAGCTAGAAAAGGCAAGTTTAACTTAGGAATATTTGCGGATTTTCCCAATAGGCTGCCCCTTCAGTTGCAAGAAAACAACAACGAAAAAAATAGTGTTAAGAGAAGAAAAAGAAATATCAAATTGTAAGCCCAAGGGTCAAAATCGCACAAATCGTGTGAGCCCAAGCACACGGTTTAACCTATCAATCAGCCAAATCCATTCCCAAATTGTATTATACGTTAAAGGAGGGACGGATACAATAAGATTTCAGACTTGTAGAACAGCGAGCGTATTCTAGAAGCATCTTTTCGACGCGCAGGGACATAAAACACGCGATCAAAGGTTGGTTATGACGCAATTGCTGTTAGTAAAACGATCGTCCAATATAGAAGCTCTACTGTTCTCACTGCATCGACGAGCCTTGGAATTGACTCAACGTACTAAGTGCAAACGCAATAAATATCAAGACTACAGTCACTACAGAGTTTGTCTGTAATCGACGGTAAATGAAAATATGAATATTTACAACTTCTTATGATGAGATGTTTTGACCGTTCGAAGCTTAAAAATACAACGCGACAACGCGATTGACGATCGTCTGCAATTACTCGAAACACCAACGTTTTCGTGAATATACATAACTGAAATTAATAAGTTTTAAGAGATCAACAAACAAAATGTTTCATTATCATTGAAGAGGCCAATGTAAAACAAAATTATCTCCAGTTACGAACAAAAATTTTGCCCTGAGGATCTCGGCAACTACACTCCTGCAAATGAACAAAATTTCGAGAATCCACTAAAAAAATGCAACAATATGAACTACAATGAATAAACACCTCAAATTTTTCGAAACTAATTCAAATAATACTTAAAGATTATTAAAGTAATAATCTTCACTGTAAATTATTATCGGTCACTCTCTAAACGACGTGTAGAACAAATATTGCCATTAGAAGAAATGAAGGACGCTGAATTAGGTGACTAGCGTGACACAACAGAGTCCGATTCATCTTTAGGTTACTTATAAGAAATTCAGATAAAGTTGATTCCGTAGAGCGGACTTTGAAGACTGCCAGATGGGAAGACATAATTTTAAAAAATGAGCAGCACGTTATCCGTGAAGCATGCAGTGAGGGGTTCTTATCACCAGCTACCCTCAACCAAAGTAAACCGCACAAGCTGGGACCCACGGCCGCGCACAGCCGGAGTACGCAGGACGATAAGCGCAGCCAAGGTAAGGAGTTCTCAGACTCTAAACCCTCGACATTTGAGACCAATTATAGACGATAATTTCTTACAGTATACATCACGAGTTTTACGATTTTACTAACCCAATAAACAGACTGAGCTCAGAGTTCTATTCAATTGAAGGGAGGAGTTGAATACGGAACCAATACGAGTCGAAGGAAGACAAGGAAGATTTGCGTCCTGACCCAACGTTTAATCTATGATCAACGTTAATCTATGACTGTGAAAAGTTCTTGCGAAAAGATCCTTAAAATTCAGCCTGCATAAGAACAGAGTACGGCGATTTTCCAAAATATAACTTTCAAATGCAAATTTTTCGTGGAACCAATTAACTCTTACCTACTCGCCGTGGTAACATTTCTTCACTCGACAAAATGTGTAGTTACAAATTATTCAACCAACTCATGAAACATGTGTCAAGGTGGTAGTGGCATAATGGCAGTTTACATTGTAAACTTTAATGCCACTGTAAAAACATCCCAAAGTCACGGCATGTGGCGCCAGCTTCCGAAATGAACGGTCACGGCAGTCAGACCACACGTAAGATTTAGACACTTCACGCCGACCGAGCGTGAGGGATGTAAGATGTCCATTTTGGGATGCGCGATGAAACACTTTCACCATTAAACCCCCACTTCTCCTCCCCGCAGCTATGCCCCCATTCCTCCCCTTTCCTCCTCATTCTGTAGGAACACTCGCTCCCCCCCCCTCAATGGAACACTAACCCCCCTCAATTCCACACGCGAATGTGACCGCGACCCATGACCTCCTGAGGCCACACCCCCCGCTCCAACTTCCACAAGCTCCATAGGGCTTCCCGTGGCACCGTTCACCGTTTTCCATACTCGCTCCCTAAGTAGCCTCCTATTACCGCTTACTGATTTATTACCGACCAGGCAGATTCGTGTTCCAGCTTGTAAATATATTTGAACCGCTCATCGATTTGCATAAGCTCACCCACTCGC